CTAAACCTTGAATTCGAGTGTAGTAGTCACTAGGTTTAAAAATTATTCGGCAGTTGAGCGACTTTTTTAAAACCGAAAGCTTTCGTTTCTTTGAGTATAAAATTTAAAGAAGGCGTAAATTGATATCAAAAAAGTACAAGAAATAATTGTTGCGTGTATGTTTTCCATAAAATATATTTGAATGTATAAAGGCAGTCAAAATAAAGGATGAAAATGCATACTACTTAAGTAGTCGGTTTTTACAATATATACGTTCTGCTAATGGTCAGAAGGAAGCTCGTCAAAAAGCCCGCATCCTGACATGACTGAAATGACTTCAGAATAGACTACACGATAATGAGTATCACAACTTGAGTCAATACCGATTAGCGAAAGAGTATCAATCTTTCGCATATGTCGACATGTTGCGTGATCTTCGGCAACTACTGTCAACGCCAACCCCGCCTTCCCCCCCCCTCCACCACATTCGAAATCCGCAACCCGAATAACGCCTGCCATGCCCTGATCTGGCCCCGCGTTTAAGCAGCACATCTACCATGTTGCCTGTTTATGCTGCAAATGTCAATTCATACAGGACCTTTGCGAAGCACTCATAAATTAATATTACTATCAAATAGAGTAGGAGGATTTATAGCACACCCACTGTTAAGGGGGTGCACGCGTATTACACAAGCTGTCACACACTGGCTGTCTTCAACTCAGAATGGCTCAAGCCAACACGCAGTGACAGGCTCAATCGACCGGGTCACAACCAATTAAGGCCGTAGATTCAAAAACCCATCGGAAACGAAATTCACTTCACACGTGCAAGTTGAAATGTCGGTATGAAGTCTGCAAGGTGGCCTGCAAAGGCTAAGGGTTTCGCGCTTTGTCAGACATTGCATCAGCAAAGATACCCAGTTTCGAAGAGCCTCAGTTTTCTTGCTCGTGGAAGACGCTGGCTGAGGTTAGCAGAATGAGGTAAACGCACTTCAAGTCAGAGCCGCACGTGGGGTAAATTACATCGTTTGCTATGATCGAACTAGCGTCCCGTGTTCACCCATCAGAGGTTCGCGGCATGTCTACTTACACGACGGAACTCGCTAATGTGATCTTGGAGTCACCCTTTAGGACAATGTTTTACCGGTTTGGGTCGCCGTTGTTGATGCCGAGGCAGTGTTCCAACGACTAAAGGCACTGGATTCTGAGCACTATCGACCACGATTGGGGATCCGGTATGTTGATCACGCGTTTGTCATCATCAGTCGAGACAGGATTGGGGATTTTACAGAGAACCTGAACTCCATCTACCCCGACATCCACTTCACGATGGAGGAAGAAAAATACTGCCAGTTGCCGTTCCTCGACGTGCTGGTGTGCAGAAAAGACGATGGGGAACTCAAAACAACAGTTTACAGAAAGGCGACGAATACCTCGCGTATTCTGAGTTATCTCAGCAACGATCCCGTCACGCACAAACGCAGCTGCTTACAAACGCTATATCGCAGCGCAGAAACCCACTGCAGCGAACCAGCAGCCAAAAAAACTGAGCTCAAGTTTCTGCGGAAACATTTCCCTATGAACGGCTATCCTGGCGCATTAGTCGAAAAATGCAGGCGAGGAGCCAAACGAAGAAAATCAACGGAGCAGCCAGAACCAATACGCTGGCGAGCAATACCCTATATTGCTGGCTTATCCGAGGAATTA